GTGATTATTATCATTATACCAACTTAGTCTTAAATGCTTTTATTCTCTCTTCTCTCTCATACACAGAGTACCTACAATATAATAAGAAAATTCAGACAGCATGTTTTAATCTCAGTAGGAGAGCAGAAAGGACAAGTATCTACAGAGGAGGGGAACAGTGTGGAGGAAGGTAGGAAATCACCAGTGAACAAGTACCGTTTGTAAGAACCTGAGCGATTTACTTGCCTCCTTGAGAGGGCGTAAGGCCCGTGTAGACAGGAGGGACCTGATGGTAAAGATACCAAGTGACTGCTGGCGTATGTTACAAGGGGGCAAGTGCTGGGGAGAAAACTCAGGATAAGGAGACTGGGCCTGTCTGGTGGTGGGAGGGGAGGTGGTCAGACAGGCCTCGTTGAAAAAGTGATTTTAAGCAATGATCTGAAGCGAGTGAGGCAGTCAGTCACGGGAACAGCCTTCCAGGCAGAAGGAACAGCTTGTGCAAAGGCCTCAGGAGCAGTGTGGTGGCGAGAGTGAGCGGCCTAGCAGGAGTCTTAGCCAGAGGAAAGATGGGCGACGTATCAGGACTGGCCTCGCCCCGCCTGGGCTGTCTCAGGACCTTCCCGACAGCCGCTCAGGAGCCTGGGGCCTGAAGCATGGGTGGTGTCTATGGACTAGGAACGGCTGCAGCGGTGTCTGGCAATGGCCCTGTCTCGCGTTCAGCCTTTTATCAATTGCTTAAGGACACGGAAGGCACGGCTCGTCACCTTTACATGGCTCTCCACAGCGCAGTGGTCACCAGAACCACACTTCAAAAGCATCCCAAGGGGACTGGCCAAATCCAACGCTGCGACGCTCCATGGATACGAACTGTTTGGGAAGCTTTTTAAAAACCCTTTCTCAAGTGCAGCTAGAAATCAGTCCAGTTTTTAAACAGGAGTTCAAGGCCAAAGGGACAACACACTGTGAGAGTCGAGAATGGGAGATAATTATTAGAGCAGAGAGAGGTTATGAACGGTGGCCACTGGGTATACGGAAGAGGCTCCCAGTGAGGGCTGGAGACCCAGGAGCACCCTGCTGGGTGCAGGTTCCACAGGGGTAGGGTGCTCAGGGGACAGGGCTCTAACTAGAGGGCTCAACAGGAAAGCTGTGTGAGGGCCAGGGGCTGACGGCGATTAGCCCGGAGAGCAGCTTTAAAGGAAGCAGCTCCGTCCAGGGGCCTCTGCCGCCTGAAGAACAGAGTGGAAGCAAGTGTACCCTGTGCGGCTGCAGAGGCAGAGACGGAACCAAGGGCTGGGAGACAGGGGGCAGGGCTTGGCTCAATCTGAGAAAGTTCCTTCGAAAGCTTAGAGCTGTTTTAAAATGGGATGGGTTGTTTCACAGTCATCCGTGGCCTTAATACGTTCCCAGCCAGTGCACCAAGCATTTTAAGGGCATTATCGTTACACATTATACACTTATATACATTAAATACACTACCACGCTTCAGTCTCCACAATGAGGCTCTGCACCCACAGCAACACCGGCCCTATTTTTAAACATCGAAACTTCACTTCAGGTGTTGCTGCTGTTTTGTTTCAGCCACAAATCACAGTTCAGTTCCCCCTCCAGGGCTTCCCTCAGGTCCCTCCCACCTCCGTCCACACCCCCTGCACACCCCCAACTCCCCTCCCGACAGGGCGCGCCCAGGCCCTGGGAGGAAGAGCCGTCTGCAGCCTGTGGGCCTCTCCTCTGTGGCAGGGGAAGAGTGAGCGAGGCACCATCCTGCTCAGCTGGCAGCAAGAAACCAAAGCCCCAGGCGCTCAGCACGGGAGCTCCTCGGGGGCTCCACCAGCAGGAAGGCGCTGGCAGCGTGGAGGCTCCACAGCGCCCCCGTGTGGAGAGGGGCAGCATAGGGCTGGGAGCACCACAGGCACTTCCACAGGGTGGGAGGTGACTTTATAGTGAAAACATTCACTTCACTGACTTTCTTTTTAATCTTATCAATTATGAGAGCTTAAAAAAAAAAAAAGTAAAAATGTCAGCTCTCTATCTTAATCAGTATGGCGGGAGGCACAATGAACCCTGTGTCACAGGTAAGAAATGGAGGCAGGTTGTCCCAGCGCCAGGCTCCTGAGGTGAAAAGCTGGGACTTGAAACACTGTCACTCTGCTCTTGACTTGAGAAGAGGAGCCTAAGTGAGCGCCTCTCATTTAGGGATCTAGAGGCCCTGTCAGGTAGACGTTCCAATACTCACTCTTTTATGTGTTTTTTTAAAAATAGAACTGTCTCATTATTTTAATGGTTTAAACTTAAATTTTTTTTTAATTCCCACCCGAGGATACTTTTTCCATTGCTTTTCGGGGGGGGGGGG